AGGCCAAAAGAGGAAAGTATTATAGCTTGTAATGTAAATCATTGAGATCTTTATAACAGTGTAGGCTACTTACATAAAATGCATATAAATATAATTGATCACATTTATCATTTATCCCAATAATACGTCTTAAGATAATATTAAAATTTTTAGTTTGTGGGAGGTAAAACATAATGCAATGCAATACAATGCTAATTGAGAGATTAACGAAATAAACGTTCTTCAAAAGCCTAATGTAACATATTTGATAATACATTTTTCTTAAAATAAATAATGAATGCATGGAAATTAAGCAAACCTAAGTTGCTTCAGTCCAGTATTTGTGATCCTGAAATATTACAAGCAAAATAAAAGTTGTATTACAAGCACTTTATACAAATCAGTAAAGATTTCACAGCAAAAAAGACATGTGAACCATGAGCTAAAGAGAATTATGAAATGATACTAAAAGGCCTTTTACCTGTTAAAAACATATAGCTACAATCAATCGGACGACAGAAGATGTGTAGCAGATTGTCTACAACAGGTTTTTCAGGAAAGTTTTGATCATGTTGATAATTTAAAAGCCTTAGAAATTTATGTATCAATTTTATTATACACTTTTTTTTATGGTTCAGAGCTGTCAATGAAGAAAATGCAAGGAATTGAATACCTCAAATAACACTAATCAATCATCCCTTTAATCATGTGCTTCTCAAGGCATTATTCGATCACAGATAGACTACTGCACCTCAGGTCCTCTCTGGTCTACCTGTATCTGCTACACGGTCCTTCGAGCGCATCCAAAATGCTGCCGCTCGACTTGTATTTAACCTCTGGAAATTCTCTCATTTTCCGCCTTTGCTCAGCTCTCTACACTGACTGCCAGTAACTGCAAGAATTAAACCCAAGACACTGGTCCTAGCCTGCAATGCTGCCAATGGCCCGTAGAACCATTACCTAAAATCCTTCATCAAACTCGTACACCCCAGTCTGGTCACTGCGATCAGCCACTTCTGGTCACTTAAATCCCCTCGACACGAAGATTTCCTGCTCGTCCAAGTCCAGATTTTTCCATCCGTTTCTATCCTGGTTCCTCATTGGAACAAACTCCAACTATCAAATATCAGACCAGCTGACTGTTTAAAAGCATTCAGATACACCTTGACATGTTTTAGCCTACCTCCACGAAAACACACACACACACACACACACACACACACACACATATTGTGTTTCTATGTTTTATGGGGACATTCCATAGGCATAATGGTTTTTATACTGTACAAACTGTATGTGCTATTGCCCTACACCAACCCTACCCCTAAACCTACCCCTTACAGGAAACTTTGTGCAGTTTTATTTTCTCAAAAAAACTCATTCTGTATGATTTATAAGCTTGTTTCCTCATGGGGACCTCAAAAATGTCCCCACAAGGTCAAAATGTACTAGTATTACTATCCTTGTGGGGACATTTGGTCCCCATAACGTGATAAATACCAGGTACACACACACGGCTTTATATGAAACACTTAAAAAACTTAATTAAGCCACTAAGATTTAGCATGAACAGATACTGAATAATCAACATTAATTTCTTGTGTATTAGTTTCTTACTGGATCTTTAGGCCAAAGCTTTATACAAAGACTAATACAGGTAATACAGATTAAGATGGTGGCTGTGTTTTGCAGCATGGCATCTAATTTCTAGCTTGTCATTTTTTTACTAACTAACTAACCAGCTTCAAGATGGTTATACCAGTTTAATGTTGACTCTGGGAAATGGTGGTTATTCAACTAGCCAATAACCAGCTTGGATCATCTAAGTTAGAAACCAGCTACAAAACACAATCTCAAATTGTGTTTTTTGTCAACAATCGTTTTGAAGAGAAAACGTCGGCTGACACAAATTTTATGTAATGTAAATATTAACCTAAATATAAATCTAAACGGTATTTATTCAGGTAAGAGCTTCATTATCCAAGTGCTAACCAATCTATTGGTTTAGTTTCTAACGACAATATAATTTCCGTCTTGTTGACTGGAATGAATAACTTTTTAAGATTAAATCTTGCCAGTATAGCACTATTAGTGTGATAAACAAATATAATGTGCATATAAGCATAAGTGTGTAACATTATCACCTGGTTGAAAGGATGAACTTCGATCTGAAGAAACCAAACCATCTGAACCCAATCTTGAACGTCAACTCGACGTTCAAATAATTATCAACAAGAAATCACATGATTTGGCGAGTTTGGTCGCCATCTAGCGGTGTGAATGGTTCTCTGCAAGGGTCAACGCTATGAACGGTCAGTCTCACCCAAACTAGCTTGTGAAGACTATACGGGGGCGAATAAAGGTTTGAATCCCCTACATTAAGTAAAAACAAATGTTAAGGGGGTCTTAAAAGTTGATTTCAGTATTATTAGTGATCATAAAAGTTAGAAAAAAGTAGTTAAAGCGCACTTATATGGATGCTCACGAACAGAAAATTCCGGCCGGCGTTCGCCTCAGAAGGTAACCATAGCAACAGTTAACCGCTTTCCGAGGGCTTTCCGTGTCGATACATTATGTATTATTGATTTATATTTAACAAGTATATCTCAGTGTTTATACATACATAGGCCTAAAGAATACATACAATATGTGAAAACGTCTTCCCTTGTACTTTAGCCCTTATCTTGTGTACTTCGTTCCTCAAATTCTTATATTAGCGAAGCGGTTTTGAAGAACATAAGCTGATTGCTGAGAACCTCAACTGATAGCAACTCACACAAGCCTTTGATATTGTTATTAGAGAATTTAAACACAAAAGTCACACTCTTTATTTGAATTGGACTGCTCTGTTGTGGCAAAGAGCACCATTTTATGGCATATGTAATCATATGTAGTCTGTATTGTGTGTGTATGCAAGTATAGAGATCAGTCAAAACATGGTTGGTATGAACATGACTGCTGTCCCCACCTGCATTCACACACCCAAACACAGAGCATGTCCACAATTACTCATCACCCAAACATTACTGGTCAGCCCAGTGACCCCTCCTCCTCTGGGTGACCCCGACGACCTAGGCGCCATGGCAACCCTGTGACCTATCCAGCAGTTGCCAAGGAGACAACCTTGGAGCACATCTGACCATTGCCCCCTCCCTTCCCCCTTTCTGCTGAGACGAGGCGAGCGATCGATATTCTATCACACAGAACAGTGGAGCGAGAGAGGGAGAGGGGGAAAGGGGGAGAGAGAAAGAGAGAGAGAGAGAGATTGGTGGGCTGCACTGAGCAGAAAGATTAAAGCGGGCAGGACAGCTGACAAGGGGAGCGTGTGTGTGTGTGTGTGTGTGTTTCATAATGAGGAGACATATTTCTGTTATTTTGGAGAGTTGGCTTCAAGGCATGTTTGTAATTCTGTTTTTAGAGGTGTGGTTTTGTGTGTGTGTGTGTGTGTGTGTGAGCCCTCTTCATCATCAAAATGAAACAGCGGCCGAATGTAACCAGGGAATTCATCAAAGACTTTACTGCAGCCCGTCTCCTCCTTTCTCTTTCATATAAAACCCCAAACTGTATATATATATATATATATATATATATATATAACAGGTTGTATAAATATATAAGCTGCACAGCGGCCGAATGTAACCAGGGAATTCATCAAAGACTTTACTGCAGCCCGTCTCCTCCTTTCTCTTTCATATAAAACCCCAAACTGTATATATATATATAACAGCTTGTATAAATATATAAGCTGTTATAGGCCCTCGGTCTCTATCTGTGTGTGCAGACAGTCTTTAAAGGGGGTGACCCACACCTCTAGGTGATACGTCTGTGAAAAAGCAATTTTATTTTATTTATTTATTTACAGGAAATTTTATCTCAAATTAAATTTATGACCACCTGCTGTTTTGAAACGTTATTGAAAAACAACTTCCTCAAAATGATGAATGTTGCTAAAATATTAGGGAGTGATTTCGAGTGAGATGTGTTTAATGTGTTTATTGCTGTGATATGATTTTGGGAGAAGCCACCTCTATAAATGTCACAGCGCCAAAACTCATAAAAGCTGTGAGAAAGAAGGTTATAAACCTGCGAGAGTGAATTAATGACAGTAAAACCATTAACAGACTTGCAGAGTTCAGAGAAAAGCCATTACAGAGGTAAAAGTTCTCACACTGGCCATGTTAATCGAGCGAGTAGTTTTTAGTATTCTTTTTATTAGCTGACTACAATTTCCTGGCTGAATCCTACCAGAATGTGCCTAGGTCATATTTCATATTATAATATAATATAACAATAGAGTAAAATAAATAAAAAGTAATTTTGAATTATAATTTATTCTTAAATAATTAATCTATTTTATCAAATTATTTTCATTACATTAAATCACATTTCTTACCCCGAAATTTCCATACAAACTGCAAAAATATAAATTTGATTTAATCTGAAAACGTTTTATATCAGTATTTGACTAGAAACACAATTAACTGTCTGAATCACACAAATCCTCTCAAATGAGTGAATAAAGAAAATAAAATCCATTTTATCAAATTATTTTCATAACATTTAATCACAAATTCTTAACCCCAAATTCTCATTAATATGCTGCAAAACGGTATTTTATTGAAATTGTAAAGCATTATATCAGTATTAAAAGTAGCATATCATGGCAGTATTGTTGTACATTATTATAGTTTTAATTAAATTAAAAAGCATTGTGTCCGGAAAGGATGATTCTCATTACCTTAATACCGAAATGAGTAAATAATAATGAGAATAATGTGAATTACAAACTGAAGACATCTGGATGCATTCTAGGTGATATTCAACTACACCAAAACATGAAATACTCTCCTGTGAAATGACTTCTTGATATTTAAAAATTAAAAATGTTGATTTTGAACTCAAACACAGTGTGAATGCATGTTTAGGCATCCTGAAAATGCAGTAGATTTGAACATTTGCACAAAATATTTCATTTGATCTCATGCCAGACATCAGACACAAAAAACAAACCGACACCAAGCTGAGAAAAGAGAGATCCTTCTTTTTTATTTCATTTTTTGCTGTTGTTTCACGTATTGGTACATTGCTTTTATTCCATTTTTTTCTGCACTTATTTAAACAATGAAATCAGAGAGAAGTCTCTTTTTCCTAGGACACAGAAAGATTGTATTTTCTCTTTTTTTAACAGGGGAAGAGGGGAAACGGGGGCGGATAGAGGAGGGCGGCTTCTTCACATCGTTCACGAACAGACAAACAGACGGGGACAGAGAGACGGACAGAAGGAGCAAGAGCTGGGAGGGAGGGGGGAGGGAGGGATAAAAGGGGAGGGAAAAGAGGAGCGAGAGAAAGAGAGAGAGAAAGGGTGGCAGTGTGCTTTGTCATGTCTGAGAAAAATGAAACCAAGCAGCTCTCAGACACACTTCTAACATAAAAAAATATCAAACAAAAAAGTTATGAATGATTAATAAATACATCTTTCAAAAATACAACAACAACGACACAGAAAGAAAAAACTCTTGAGAAAGGGAGACAGACAGGTGCCAGATTGGGGTGAGGAAATCTGTGCTCCTCTTTTTCCCCAGCAGAGGGCGAGATTCTAAATGAGTTATGATCTTTAGGTTATTTGTATTTTTGGACGGTAAAGATAACAGTAATCTAGCATGGCAGTGTTTGTACAGGAGTCCCTGTCGACTGTGACCGAGTCTAAATGCAGCTGCTGGGTTTGGACAGACGTTACAGAAGGACAGAAGTTACAGTGTGTTTATCAGTATTAGTAAACCTTACTCCTATCATACTGGCAGATTCAGCTGTAGTCTTTGAGCAGAAAAAAAACAGGAGGTTTGTCGTCTTCCTCTGTGGTTGGTCCTCTCATCTTCTTATTTTTTATTTCAGTAAAAGGAAGGAGTAACATGGCTGTTTCTGTATTGGTGTTTTTATAGTGAAAAGAGGAATGGGTAGAATGTGAAAGAGAAAGAGATGAAGAAAGAGAGCGAGGGAATGAGGGAGAATCGATGAGAGAAGTATTTGACAATTCAGTAGTATGTCTCCTTTTCAACCCAACCTGAAATAAAACAGAGAGAAAGAGGATCATTCAAATTCAGCATCAGTAACATGGATATTAAAATTATACCTTGTTTGGGCAATCAGACATTCACAGAATATTCATATGAGGAGCATTGGGAATATGTCTAAAGGCACTTTATTTTTTGCAATGCTTCCTCAGCACTTATATGACTAAAATTGATCATGAATCAGTTAAAACGGTCAAATACAGTGAATCGATTCAAAACTGATTCAATGATTCATTTGCATCATAAACTCTTTGATGTTCACATGGGTGTCTATGTAGTATCTTCCATGCAATAAAACATTTTATTAATATATATATATATGTGTGTGTGTGTGTGTGTAGGTCAATTTTGCCTTTTTTCGCAAAGTATTTTTTTATGAAAAAATTTAACATTATTTTCCTTTTGGTTCATTTAGTGAGACACAGTTTAGAAATAAATTTCTAATGTTACAAAAAAACATATTTGAAACTTATTTCAAATAAATGCAGTTTTTTTTTATTGCAACAATACTACTGTTGATTTTTTTTTAAATGCAACAAACATAGACGGAGCGTGTGTAAATGCCACTAAATTGGACAAAAATGCCCCTGCACAAACAAATGAAATCTATTACATCTGTTGCTAACAAAGTGAATATGAACAGACAGTGTCGATTGCGGCATTAAATTAAGATCTCATGTTGCACCGTATTTCATTTTAGGCGTTTTTACAGTGTTGCGCATTTTAACACACATATCTGTTGAGCTTAGGAATGCAATGGCCAATCAGAAGCGTTCAGATGAGTCATCGTTCAAAATCATCAGTTTTGTTGAGTGTGCGCGTGCATTCACTGACTGAATTCCAGACTCTTGCAAATTCTCTCATCATAAACAGCAAAGCGCAGATGTACGTAACAATGTAAGTAAGCTTTAGTGATTATAACGATAGTTTTGTTTTTTTGAAAGTGCTTAAACTCACGATAGATCAATGTTAGTGATAATGTCACTTTCTATATATAATTTATTCACTGTGAATTCTCTCATCATAAACAGCAAAGCGCAGATGTACGTAACAATGTAAGTAAGCTTTAGTGATTATAACGATAGTTTAGTTTTTTTGAAAGTGCTTAAACTCACGATAGATCAATGTTAGTGATAATGTCACTTTCTATATATAATTTATTCACTGTTTTAATAACAGTGGAAAGGAAACGTTATATAATTATCAATTTCTAACGTTTTTATTAAATTGTAATCACGTTAAATACAAATTCAGTCCCATTAAACATTTTTTAGCCTACAAATGTCACTTTCTATATATAATTTATTCACTGTTTTAATAACAGTGGAAAGGAAACGTTATATAATTATCAATTTCTAACGTTTTTTATTAAATTGTAATCACGTTAAATACAAATTCAGTCCCATTAAACATTTTTTAGCCTACATGACACCTATGTCTGGTCCTTGCCTAAAAAGCCGGGTTTATGATGTTTAATACATTTGGCTGCTTTTAGCCTTACCCTGGAGTTGGTTCACCCTCTGCCTATGGCAACAATCCTACTGTTTTACTGGATTTTTGATCAAATAGTTGCACCCTTGGTGAGCATTAAAGGCTTTAAAAACAATAAAAAATCCTTTCTGACCTCAAACTTTTGAATGACAATGTAACTGACTGCAAAAAGCCATGGCAGAGTAAATACGTAAATATCAATACTTATATACTGAATATCATCATAAGCCTGCGATATAGCTAAAATATGTATATATACTTAGAGAATAATTCAAGCTGTGTACCTCCTGGGTTTCGGCGCAGGATAAGTTTTCGGATCTCATCGTAAACAAAAATTAAAAAGCTGTAAGGGAATGCACAGAACCACCAACTGGGCCTGAGAGAAGAAACGAGAGGAAAAAAAGAGGATTCACATGAGTTAAACTGTTGTTTCCTTTCACTATGATAATGAGGATGCACATTATAAATTGGCTTTTTATGCAGGTAACACTCACTTGAGAGGATACATCCTGAGGGCCACGTCCATGCCGGGACAGTAAGACAGGAAGGCAGCGAGAGCCGTTTCCTCAAACAGGCCGAAGATCAGGATTTTATTCCTACAAAGAACAAGCACAATCACTTAGCTCAGCTAGTCTGCTTCAGTCACTGCTTCATATTTGATTCAACTTTCTGCAAATGTGGAATCTTAGTGTTAATGGGACATGGAGAGAGATACTAACTTCATGCCCTGCTGGAACACAGAGTTGCGGCGAGTCTTGCAGATGATGACGTCGGCCCACTGCACCACCACGATACTGACGAAGAAAGCCGTGTGACAGGTGAACTCCACAATCTTCCTCTGCTCATACGTCTGACAGAAAGATTACATTTATGATTACACTCTCTTATATGCTCCATGTTCGCATACACTACTGTGCAAAATTTGGGTTCAGAAAGATTTTACATTTTTTTAAAAACATGATGACTCAAGGATGCAATAAATTGATCACAAGTGATGGAAAGACATTTATAACATTACAAATGATTTCTATTTCAAATAAATGCTGTTCTTTTGAATTTTCTATTTGTCAAAGAATCCTGGAAAAAAAATGCATCATGGCTTCCACAAAAAATATTAAAGAGGTCAAATGATGTTGCTAAAAAGAACATTATTTTGTGTATTTGGTGTAATTCAATGTGTTTATGCGGTTTAAGGTTAAAAAAACACATTATTTTCCACATAATGTACATTATTGTTTCTCCTCTATGCCCTCGATTTTTACAAAGCTCATCGGTCTGAAAAGTGAGGTGTGCTCTGATTGGCCAGCTATCCAGTGCGTTGTGATTGGCCGAATACCTCAAGCGTGTGACAGAAATGTTACACCCCTCACCATACTGTGATGCCGTGTCCCGGCCGGAGTGACGAGACACAAAAACATTAAAACCCAACATCTGGAACAGTGTTGTAAATACAACTTAACCACTGATTTCTAGTCGTGTCCTCTTTTGGAAGGCCAAACAAAGTAGTTTCGCGTTCACAACGAAACACACAGCGCCTTCACAACATGGTGGCGGCAGCAGCAACAACAATACTACAGCGAGAATAAAAGTTACCCTTCTTTCTTTGCGTGAACATTTGGGTGGTGTTATGCAAATCTTCCCACATCGTGACGTAGATATGTGGGGGCGTGTTAGAACGAGCCGTTTTAGGTAGGCGTGGTTGAAATTTTATAAAGAATATCTCTTTGGTTTTGAGACTTTAGTCTTTGCAACTTTACAGATCTTCTTTATACACCAAGAGCTTGTAACACTCCAAAGAGAAAGGAACAATTGAAATCGCATCATATGACCCCTTTAACACAACTGTTTTCAACATTTATAAATATAATGATTTGGCTTCATGAGTTTCAAATCAGCATATTAGAATGATTTCTGAAGGATCATGTGATTACATTTAAAAATATTTAAATAGAAAGTTATTTTATGTTTTAATACTATTTCACAACATACTGTTTTTACTGTATTACTGTATTTGTGATTAAATAAATACAGCTCTGGTGATTTTCTTTTCCAAAAATAAACAAATAAAACTTACCAACCCCAAACTTTTGAATGGTAGTGTATATTACATCTATATTACATACTAGATTTGTTTAGATCAGTGTTCTTTTAGTATCAATGAGATTATAGATTTTATTAATGGTCTAAACGATTTGTTGAAGTTTTTAACTTTTTTTTTGTATTAAAGGCAGTAATTTTTTTCACGTAATTTTGATCAGGTTTTTTTTGTATGTATATATAGTTTTTTTTTATTCCAGCTTTAGTTTTAGTTATTTTAGTACATCAATGATGCCTCTAAACCTAGCTACAATAAAAAAAGTTGTTACATTTTACTTTATTTCATTTAACACATTTATTAACGTTTATTTAAAATAACAAAAATGTTTTAGTTTTTTTATCGTTTTAGTTTTATTCATTTTAGTTTCAGTTAACTATAATAATCCTGGTTTAGATATCTCAATCATCTATAATCATTTTTTTTAAACTTTTCGACAATGCCAAACACTTGTGAAATATCTCTGCGAGTGTGTTTGAACAGCAATCAATAGATGCATCCTTATGAATAAGCTTGGCTTCCTTATCTTAGTTGCACTTCCTGTCTTGAAAATCTGCATGTTCTCCTGTATGGTTTTGTTTTCTTGTACAGTATGTCAAAACCAGATAATTAATAGCTAAGATGGAAGCCTAAGGTCAATGACAGGCCAACACTTTTGTGTGTCTCTTTATAGAAGCATCTGCAAAATTAATAAATGTAAAATGCAATGTACCTTGCTTTGGTCAAGAGCATCTGCCAAATGCATAAATGTCAAAGCTATTCTATCAAATATGTGTATAGCTTGTGTAATCTGATGCAGTGTAGCTCTTCTGCATGTTTACCCATTGCTGTCCGTAACTGTCCTCCAGGTCATTGTTAGAGCGATCGTCCCAGTTCAGCCGGATGCCCACCAGCACACTGGGAAGCCAGCCATTCTCAGCCAGAATCACGAAATAACTGAAAAATCCTCCCAGAGCCTGAATCATACCTATATATGACAGGAAGTCACTTTTATTCAGGTCATTTTGGGTCAGTAGACCAGTTGGGCTCTTTCTACAGCAGTTTAACCAAAGCCGAACTAAAATACATTTTTTAATAATGTAGCAGCTCACTAACCGATCTGTCCATAGGCGATGCTGATGAGACGCTCGTTCACCAGCTTGTCCCTGTGGGGGTTACGAGGCTGCCGCTTCATGATGTCACTCTCTGCTGCTTCATAAGCCAATGAGATTGCAGGGACCTGAGATGGAAAGTAATGATTGGTTAATATAACAAGGGAGTGTATTTCAGAAAAAAGGTGAGAATTATAACTAGAAAAGAACAGTTCCAGTTACATTGACCAATATGTTCATTATTGAAATAAAGACATTAGATTGAGTGTGTGTGTGTGTGTGTGTGTGAAAAAGTTGTTACATTTTACTTTATTTCATTTAACACATTTATTAACGTTTATTTAAAATAACAAAAATGTTTTTGTTTTTTTATCGTTTTAGTTTTATTCATTTTAGTTTCAGTTAACTATAATAATCAATGCAGAGGATGGTGATGGTTCCCAGAGGAAGAGGAATGTTGACTAAGATGAAGAACAGGAAGGGAGTGATCTCAGGGATGTTGCTGGTCAGTGTGTAAGCGATGGACTTCTTCAGGTTATCAAAGATCAGACGACCTGGGAGAGAACAAAATGTAAACAGACTTCACCATTACCTGAGTCAAAGTCGTTTCTCTCATTCTTCTGGACTGTGTTCCTGTGCTTTTCCAAAATCTGTCAAGACATTTTGCTTGCAAAGAAATGTCGTGCATATAATAAAAAATATATAAGTCATATGATTGTATTTAATATGAATTAATACATATTTCAAAATCTAAAAACTATAAAAGCCTTTTTTAATGAAAGTTACTTGTCACGAATCCGGTCCATGAACTTCCATCTGCTAGCCATCAGAGGTCACCCTTTCCAATTTCATTGACTCTCGCACTACACACTGTTGCACATCACCCCGGACTACATCCCATCATTCATTGCACTGATTACACTCAGCACAGATTGCACACAGCTGTTAACACTGATTGCACCCAGCTGTTTCATATCACTCCCTCACTATTTAACACTCACTCTGATCCCTTCCCTCTGCCGAGTATTGTTTAGCGCCTATCCGTTGATAGCTATACTACAGAGCCCTCGTTAGCCTTGCCTTGCCTTGCCTTGCCTTGCCTGTTTTCTCAGTTTCTGATCCTTGCCTGGTTTTCTGGATTTATCCCTTTAGTCTTGCCCTCTTTGATTCTGTTCGCCGTTCGTTGACCTTCGCTAGCCCTAGGATTATTCTTGTGTCTTGCCCGCCATTATCTGACCCATGCCTGTTTTATGACCACGTCTCTGTCTTCTCCAAATAAAAAGCTTTGCATATGGATCCACACGTTTCGTCAGCCCCGTAACATTACTATACAAAAACATGCTCAGTGTGTTTATTAATCGGTTTAAATGTCACCAACTTAATTTTGTTGATTTTATTTATCAAAGCATTCAAAACGATACTATACTAAAACTATTTGATGCATATAAATCAATAAATACAAATAACACAATTAATACAAATATTAATTTGTACTTGTTATTTTTATTAATCCTGTCTTTTGGTTTTCTGTAATTATCTGGATTTTAATTCAGATTTTTTTTTTTATGTTTATTGAATATAACCGTAACCATAATATGGTTATATATAATAAATGTTTGATTTGAATTAATACAAATAAAAAGAATATTTGATATGCTTTTTTCAAAAAGTTAATATAAAGACATTCTCAGTTGTGTTTACTATTTAATTTGAAATATTACCTAGTTTTCTTCAAAGTTGTTGTCGTTTTCAAAATATTAAGCTATATTATACTATACTATAATAAAACAGTTTTTATTAATATTATTTATTGTTTTGTATAATATAATATATTATATTGTTATACAATATTATATATATTGTTTTATGGACCTCAGGTAGACTAGCAACCACTAGATTTGTGAAATGTGATGGCGCTCCAATTAAAGAATTAATAATGAAGAACAAAGATCAAAATCTGGGTCATCGATGAAAATCTCTGGATTTCTGTCTATCTTTCCCATATCCTTTGTCTCCCTCTCTCTCTTACCTTCCTCAACTCCAGTAACGATGGATGCAAAGTTGTCATCCAGCAGGATCATGTCTGCAGCCTGCTTGGAGACGTCTGAGCCAGAGATCCCCATAGCAACACCGATGTCTGCCTTCTTCAGAGCGGGCGAGTCGTTCACTCCATCACCAGTCACTGCCACAATGGCGCCCTAAACGACACAGAGAGTGTGTAAAAACATAAGTCAGTTGTTTCCCTTGATATTGTAATCGTGACTAATAATGAACTACAGTTAGATTTCAATCCTTTGTGTGTGTTATTTAGGTGTGCACCTGTCTCTGGCAGCCCTCCACGATGATGAGCTTCTGTTGGGGAGAGGTCCTGGCGAACACAATCTCAGTGTGATTCTTCAGCACTTCATCCATTTGGTCCTGCGAGAGATCCTTCAGATCTGAGCCGTGGATCACACAGGCTTTAGCATCCCTGACAACACACCCATGAAGAATACCAAATGAAGACTCGCTCTCTGGTTGTATCAAAATCAGACAAACTGTACAGCTGCTGTTATTTTGATAAAAAGGAGCTGGAACTATTAGACAAATCACATTATTCAGAATTCAGTCTTTTTTGCATGACTTCCCATGTAGCTAGATAATGTACCTACACGATTATGGGGCAAAATCATGTTTCTCCATTGATGGACATACAAAAGTGGCTATATTTGCACAAATAAGTTGCAAATATTTGACCCTGGACCACAAAACCAGTCATAAAGGTAACATTTTTGAAATTGAGATTTATACATCAAGCTGAATAAATAAGCTTTCCATTGATGTAAGGTTTGTTAGGATAGGACAATATTTGGCCGAGATACGACTATTTGAAAATCTGGAATCTGAGGGTGCAAAAAAATCAAAATATTGAGAAAATCGCCTTTAAAGTTGTCCAAATGAAGTTCTTAGCAATGCATATTACTAATCAAAAATTAAGTTTTGATATATTTACGGTAGGAAATTTACAAAATATCTTCATGGAACATGATCTTTACTTCATATCCTAATGATTTTTGGCATAAAAGAAAAATGGATAATTTGGACCCATACAATGTATTTTTGCCTATTGTTACAAATATACCCCAGCGACTTAAGACTGGTTTTGTGCTCCAGGGTCACATATTTGGCTATATTACAGTACACTCTTAAAAATAAAGGTTTCAAAATGTTTTTTTTTGTTTTTTTGCAGTGATTCCATTTAAAAACCTCTTTTGGTTCCTCAAGGAACCTTTCAGTAAACTGTTCTTAAATAAACCTTTATTTATTCTTAATTTGAAGACCTTTTGAGAATTTTAAAATCTAAAGAGTCTTTTCTCACTATAAAGAACCTTTCGTGCATTTAAAAGGTACTATTGATGTTAAAGATTCTTCATGGATCCATCAATGCCAATAAAGAACCGTTAGTTTTAAAAGTGTCGATGTTTTACCAGTGACCTGCTTTTGAAGTTATTATAGAGAGTATTAAAGCATTTTATATTTAAAGTATAGATAAAACAAGCAGGATTCAATTTAGGATTCAATGTTCCTGAATCGGCATTCTTTGTCATTCCTAGAAACCATATTCCTATCATGCAATCATACACCGTATCCTAAACCTAGCCTACTTCTAAAAGCAAATGATTGGTGGAAAATAATATTGTTAAAGCTTAATCCCAAACCAGTAATCCGATCGGATAGGATAGGAAAACATAAACATGCCTATCCAGGAAAATCATGAGTTAAGTACTGTTAAGTACTGGCTTCCTTAGCGTCTGTGATATTTTTATCCATAGTATATTATCAAAGTATACAGGAAATTATATCAGTGAAGATACAAAATGGGACAGTGGCATTTAAATCAGAAATTTGAGTTTTGAATATGATGCAGTAGGCTTTATAGGGTTTTTATGCTCTACCTGGGGTTGACCTGGCTGACGGGAATATTAAGGCGAGCGGCGATGTCCTCCACGGTCTCGTTACCCTCAGAGATGATCCCCACACCTTTAGCGATGGCCTTGGCTGTGATGGGATGGTCACCGGTCACCATGATGACTTTGATTCCAGCGGAGCGGCATTTGCCCACGGCGTCTGGGACGGCGGCTCGGGGAGGGTCAATCATGGACATCAGGCCCACAAAGCACAGGTTGTCTGTCTGGAAGTTAATGTCGTCTGTGTCGAAGGCGAATCCTTTGGGGTACTTGTCCTCAGACATGAACAAGTGGCAGAAACCTGGATGGAAGGAGGAAAAAAGGCAGTCAGAAACACTTTTGAAGATCCACTGTTTTGTTTTTTTCCATTTGTCTTGGATTTATATTTTAGAGTTTTTGTCTCAGGAAACCGAAAAGCACATGCACATCCAATACTGTAGTTTGATTTTCATTTCCCCCACGTCACGTATTTCTCACCCAGCACTCTTTCTCCCAGTCCTCCGAGCTCCAGGTAGGCGTTCTGGAAGGCCTCCTTTAATTCCTCATCCATGGGCTGCTCTTTGCCCTGCACCATGATGGTGGAGCAGCGGTCCAGGATGCGCTCTGGCGCCCCCTTCATCACCAGCAGGTAGTGGCTGTCAGTATTCTCATCCGTCTCGTGCACTGAGAGCTGGTGTGAAAACACATCCGAGAATGAGTGTTGATGAGAACAGAATAATCTGATAAATGTGAATAAAGATGAGCTTGTTTAATCATTCATCAGAATAAAAAGAAATATCTTAGAGAAATGGACTAAATGGACAGCTGTAGTTTTCTTTAGATAAAAATCCTTCCTAATCAATTTAATAAATTATAATTAAAATGATGGGCTAAACCAGGGGCGTCGCTAGGCCCTTTTTAGGGGGTATTTAGGGAGTGCGTTTTTCAATCAGATTCGGCAAAGCATTAAGCCGCCAGCGTCAGAGGACAAGGTGTGTGCGTTTATTGATAGATAAATAATGTAATGATATCTGCATCTGACAGAGAAACATTGTTTAAAACATCGAGTTATTTCGCTCAAATAAATAATAATGACCTGCTGCTCGCTGATTGCATTATAGACTGTTTATTAACCTTAGAAAAAAGGATTTGCATTATGTCATTTTTTGAAGTGTTTAGAAGTGGCAAAGTGACTGATTAATGTGCTGTTATTATTATTATTATTATTATTTTAAAATGGCAAAAAAGAGGAATGATTTAATATGGGGCACATCAAACATGCCAATCTAGACAATTACTGTAATCTAGGTTTGTCTATATTCTAAATTAATATTAATGAATATGATCTGAATATTTAAAATGATTTAAAATTAAATTATTCAGGGGCTGACTTGATGAGCATGTAGAATCTATACTGTATAGGCCTATGTTTCTGCTTATTTTAGTATACAAACAATATATTAATACCCCGTTTCAAAGACAAGGTTTAAGTCTTGTCCCAGACTAAAATGCATGTTTGAGCTCTCTTAACGGAAAGCAACTTTCAACTGACATACTATCTTACTGTAATAAATAAATAAATAATATAATATAATAATATAAAATAAGAACGCGCGCAAATATTAAGCTTTCTCTGAAGTATTGTGTTTAAATGGACAGATGCACACAAAAATTATGCCAAAATGCCCGTCTCGGTAAGTATCTTATATCAGACATAGCCGGCTGAACGTACTGTTAAAGTGACAGCACTTTCTTAAAAAATCACTGTTTATTTTATTTGTATCTTTACTCTATTGTATTTATTTGTGCTGTAGCTTGTAGTTAGATATATTATTCTTATTTTCTTTATTTTTATTTGACAGTAGTTTTTGCCTATACATACCAAACCGTACCGAAACCATGACTCCAAAACCGTGATACGAACCGAACTGTTGAACCGTTCCACCCCTAATATATATATATATATATATATACCCAGATAGCACACGTATGTCTGCTAAAGATCTCTTGATCTGGAAAGCATCTGCTGTGTACAAACATCTGACAGACGTCTGTCAGATGTCAGTTTTACATTCTAAACCATAAACATCTTAAAGACATCTAATAGACGTCTATTTGACATCTGATAGGAGACGTCCTATAGAAGTATTGCAGATGGGCAAACACTCTAAAAATACGTCTTGCAGATGTAAATGCAGACGTCAAACAGACGTCTCCATGATGTACGTGTGCTATCAGGGTATATTTTATATATATATATAATAACTGTAAAAAGTTTTAATACGGTAATAAAAATGATGATGCACAAAGTAAATCATGACAGGACCTACAATATATATATTTTCTTACTCATTGATTTAAAATATTAACATAAATTTTATTTTGCAACAGTAAATATATACAATATTATTTTAAGTATTAAGTGAACGTTACATTGACTGAATGTTAACAAGTTAATGGAATCTGGATTCAGTCACGTCGGATACTAAACAGTAAACAAACCTGGTATTTGTTGGTGGAGTTGAAGGGAATTTCAGCCACTTTCTTGTTCTTGTCCCTCATGACTTTGACGGAGCCACAGGAGAGCTCGATGCACTTGAGAAGAGCCGATTCAGAGGCGTCCCCCGCGACATCACGCTTCAGGATGGGCAGAGAGTCCTGTCCCGCCTTAAACACGGCTCTGTTACAGAGCGATGCCACACGGGCCAGAGACAACCACGTCCCAGAGCTCTTGTCAAAGGACGCACCTATTAGAGAACACACTCGGGATCAATATAGTATCAATCTATAGCTTAGCAACCAGTCAGCCAGAACAGCCTAGAAACAGCTAGAACACAATAAATCTGCATTACCATTCAAAGGTTTTTATGTTTCGTATGCTCACCAAGGCTGCATTTATTTGATTAAAATACAGTAAAAACAGTAATATTGTAAATATTTCTAAATATAAAATAACTGTTTTGTACTGTGATGTATTTTATATTGCAGTTTATTTTTGTGATGCAAAGCTGAATGTTTAGCATCATTACTTCAGATGATCCTTCAGAAATCATTCTAATATGCTGATTTGCTGCTCAAGAAACATTTATTTTTTATTATCAATGTTGAAAACAAGGCATATTTTTGTGGAAGCCGTGATACTTTTTTTTTTAGGATTCTTTCATAAGTAGAAAGTTCACAAGAACAACAATAATTTGCAATAGAAATCTTTGGTAAAGTATTACTTTAGAGATAATAATCTAGCGTAGCGTCAGTTCTGGCAGGTCACGTTAGTCAACCTCACAAGTTGGTTTTGGTTTGTTTTTTAAATGGTGTTAGTTTTATTTAAGAACAATAACCCTGCTTTGGTAACATTTGAAATGCCTTTACTGACACTACTGATCTATTTATTGCATCCTTAGCGCTTATACTAGTGACTCACCCGACTGATCTTCCGTGGTGTCGGCCTCATGGATCTGATTGTCGAACCACATGTGAGCGACAGTCATGCGGTTCTGCGTCAGGGTGCCGGTTTTATCAGAGCAGATGGTGGATGTGGATCCCAGAGTCTCCACAGCCTCCAGATTCTTCACCAGGCAGTTCTTACGGGCCATGCGCTTGGCCGTGAGCGTCAGACACACCTGGGAGACGCAAAAAGAAAGGCAGAAAAAGAGAAACGGAAACAGAGGAGCAGAAATATGGAACAAAAGGAAGTGTGTGAGGCAGAAGTTGAAAGGAAAAAGAGGTGGAGAGAAAAAGAAGTACAGAATTTTAGTGACATTACATTGTTGGTTATGTGGCACAATGCAGCCTCGTGCAATAAGAGAACTGTGTGAAATCAAAAAGAGGCTCTGAGGAGCAAAGCCAAGCACAGCAGGAAGCAGAGAGGTCGGAAACATACTCTACGCAATGTCTGCCTTTTATTATTGATGTCTAAAGGTGAGCCAATCAAAATCAATATGGTATATTCGCACAAATTCATCTTTTACTTAATAGGAGAGTCAAATTGAATGGCAAAATGAGCAGGTGTGACATGCCCTTATCATCCAAAACCCTTAAAATATGACACAAGATATAAAAAATATATGACGCATATTGTTAATTAAGGGTTCACTTGCAGTAAGGATAAGCAAAACATTTGTGCAGACCATATTTTTTCTGAGGTGAATTATTGGCTGCCGAGAACATACAAAATGCAGTTACCAGAAAAATCAAACCAAAATTCAAGAGACTTTTAAAAATCTAAATTTCTCAATTGTTCTATTCAGCCTATATCACATGAATAATTCTTTATATTGACATTTTTGTTTACTTTTGTGCCTTTATAATGTCCAATATAGCACCCTTATGCAAATGTTGAGAGGCCAAATTCATAATTTGTTTTATTAATGAAACATATAAAGGGCAGCACAACTGTTTTCAGTATTGATAAAAGTTTTAAAAAAATATATATTTTTTATTTTTTATCAGTAAATCAGTATATTAGAAGGATTTCTGAAGGATCATGTGACACTGAAGACTGGAGTAATGATGCTGAAAATTCAGCTTTGCATCACAGCAATAAATGACATCTTAAAATTGATTTTGAACTGTAATAATATTTTCACAATGTTACTGTTGTTTACTTTGGTGAGCATAAGAAACTTCTTTCAAAAATTATAAAAGCTACAGCATAAATGATAAAGGTTTTTGAAAGCTTTGACTTTTTATTATGTATAAATGTTGAAAATTGCTAAATAGTTTCACAATTTACAAGAAAAAAAATTGTGTAGTTGAGCTAATCATGCAAATTTTTTTTTTATGGACAAACTTTAAGTAGAAAATAAAGGCGTTAACAATACATTTAATACCCTTATTTTTCTTCTCTTAATGAAAAAATTATGCATTTACATTTTTAAAAAACCATTACCATTTACTGTAAATATATAATTTATTATATAAACATTTATAAATATAAAATTTGCCATTTGGGCCCAAAAAACATTAATATGTTTTACCCTCACGGTCAAATTATTTTTTGCAAAAAGTCTCAGCGTCCTCAGTGTCAGTGTATTTAGCATGCATATTTAGCATGCATATTTGCACTGCATTATGAATTACACGTTTCCGAATGCAGTGATGCAAAAAACCAAGCTTGACGTCTGCATAGAGTGTTTCAGGCCTAGTTGTGCATGGCAGCCAGAGGCACAGACCAGCCCCAATGCACAGCCAGAGCCCCGTCAGTCTCTGTGTGGCAGCCACTAGCTCGCACAGGCAACTAGAGATACCACAGAGTAATACTTTTTCAGATTTTCATATTGGCCTAGGATTTCAACAGTGAGAGTCTGTAAAAGAACACAAAAAGAGAAAAAGAGGAACAGACAGAGAGAGAGAGAGAGAGTGATAGAGTCACGAAGAGTCACAGATATGAAAGATTAGAGAGAGGGAATACAGTTCACGATGATATTCAACACTACTGGAGCATTCACTGACACCTCACAACCACAGACCAGAAGCCACAACACTCACTAACACCATTACACTGTTACACTGAAGAAGAAATGAACCGGAGACGAAAACAGATACACTCAGATTAAAGTATCCAAATATAATCTCATGGAATATGTTCAGAATGGCACACTATACTTGAACTAGAGAACTATGGTAGTAGCAGAAATTGAAGCCTGACTTTCATGAACCTGACCCGTACCTGACTAGTACTGTAAAATGAAAAGAAAGAAACTAAAGCAAAAAATTCACTCACTTTCTATTTTTTTTATTTTAAATTTTTTTTATGTACCTACTACTTAACATGTGCAAAAATTTGCTGTTATGAATAAATGAAATATCAAATGTGATTTTGCAACTTCTTACTTTTTTTGGACTAATTATTTGTTTGGAATTCCATTGTGTGTGTGTGTGTACATATATATATATATATATATATATATAAAATATCTTTAAATGTGACTTTAGAATTTATGCATTAACTTAAGTCTAAAGTGACATTTATAGACATTAGACTTGCTGAATAAAATGATTAATTTCTTTAAACAAATCTTACTGACCCCAAACTTTTGAAAGATAGTGCAAATTTATTTCCTGACATACTATTGCCGCTTGCGATTTTAATCATTATAATATATTGTAGCACACTACTGTTGTTTTACTCAGTAGGCAGTGTGCAGTACATACTGTGCAGTACGTAGTACATACTGTGAAGTATGTTAGTATGCAGTATGTCCATTCCAAACAAAGCCATGGACAAAAGAAACAAAAAAGACAACAAACACACACACACACACACACACACACATTAAGTCACAAATTATACTGAAAAATAACAAAAACAAACACGTACTTGTCACAGAAAGGCATTTAAACACTAGCAGGGACACCAATACACACTAGAAAATCCTGACACTGAGAAAGAGAGGGAGAAGTCGGGTCACTCACAGTGACGGTGGCCAGCAGTCCCTCGGGCACGTTGGCAACGATGATGCCGATGAGGAAGATGACGGCCTCCAGCCAGGAGTAGCCCAGGATGATTGACAGGATGAAGAAGCTGACGCCCAGGAAGACGGCCACGCCAGTGATGATTTGGATGAAGTGCTCGATCTCCTTGGCGATGGGCGTCTTTCCGGTCTCTAGGCCGGAGGTCAGAGTAGCGATGCGGCCCATGACGGTGCGGTCACCGGTGCACACCACAATCCCACGAGCGGTACCTGACCGAGGAGAAGAGAACAGAAGGACATCACTATAATGATCAGAGCACATTATCCCAATTATCACTTGCCAACTTAGCAAATATATAAATAACAAGAAATATTGATCTAAGTTGATATTATATTATTATGTGAGAACAAAGAGTGTGTGGAGGGATAAAATGTGTGACCTATGCTGTAATATTTAGTAGTATTATTTCTAGTGGTACATAGAATATGTAACTTTTAGTTATAAATTTGGCAGTAATGTTAATTTTGCTATTACTGGGCAAATGAAATCCCCCATTTTGCCTTACAAATGATAAAATACAAATTATATATAATATATACACTATCATTCAAAAGTTTGGGGTTGGTAGGGTTTTTATTGCAATGTTTTTGAAGTAAGTCTCTTAAGCTCATCAAGTCTTTATTTATTTGATAAAAATACAATAAAAACGTAATACTGTGAAATATTTATACAATTTAAAATAACTGTTCTATTTATATATTTACATTTTTTATTTATTGCTGTGATCAAAGCTGAATTTTCAGCATCATTACTCCAGTCTTCAGTGTCACATGATCCTTCAGAAATCATTCTAATATGCTGATTTGCTGCTCAAGAAACATTTCTTATTATTACCAATAATGAAAACAGCTATACTGCTTGTGAAAACCTAATTTTTTTCAGAATTCTTTGATGAATAGAAAGTTCAAAATACGTTTTTTAAATAGAATCTCATTATTTCTTTACTGTCACTTTTGACAAATGTAAAGATTTCTTGCTAATAAACACATAAGTTTATTTTAAAATACCACAAAAAAAATAATGTGTAAATATTTTTATTTATTGACCACAACTGCATGATATTATTTGAATATTAGATTTGACCAAATAGATATATCTTTGAATTAAAAATTTGAAATTCAAATGAATATGGCTTACATTAGCTATTTTGTTTCTTATTTATTCTTTTTAAATATAATATCCAGTATGACATATTAATGTGATGTCTTGTTTTGGAATGATTTCATTTTAACTTTACTCGGGAGAGATCTGTGCTCTAATTCACCGCATGGTAGCAGGAGAGCGCCACCCTGAAGCTGAGCTGGACTCTAAAGGAAGGACATTGTCTGAGATGTCCCTGCTGACAGCTCCCTAACTGAGCGGTGGCCATATGCATCATCTCCTGACCTATCAAAACAACTGCATTACACCACTGACAAGAGCTGCAGACACATTTACACTGACGGAGAGAGAAATCAGTCATTTCCGAGAGAGCTATACATGTAACTGCTTTCATATAAGCAGTTGTATTTGTTATAATGAATATAAATCATCATTCACAGGTAGAAAACCAGTGAAAGACTGGATTAGCAAACGCTGAAACCTCATTTGAAATTCAGCAGTGATACAGAGAAGAAAATGTCACTAGCTCCTGCTGTGTTATTCATTTGTTCAGTCAGATCTGAATTGATTAGTGTTTTACCATCAAAGCGAAGTGAAATGTGTGGAAAAACGGAGTGAAAAACGAGGGTGCGAGCAATCACGTGGGCAGTAGACGAGTGGCAAGACGGGGCGCAGAAGTGAGAGGCTGTCGTCATGACAACATCTTTCCTCTTCGGCTGTTCTTGGTAAAAAATAATAAAAACACCGACCAGGAAAAAATAGTGATATTAGAAAAAGGGTGAAAGGAAAAAGCGGAAATTGATCGGAGAAGATGAGTTCATAAAGAACAGGAAATTAAATAATAGAGAGAGTGAGAGAGAGAGACAGCCTGGAGGAGAAAATGGAGCAGTGATGCAGCTGCTATGACAACCGTACCCTCAACACAGTTGGTGGAGAAGAAGGCGATGTTACGGGTTTCCAGAGGGTTGTCATGGGTGCAGTCAGGTGACCTGGTCTGAGGCTCTGATTCGCCCGTCAGAGAGGAGTTATCAACCTGAAAAATATAAATATATATATATATATATGTAACAAACTGCTGTTGGTTGAGCAGTGTCTGAAAGTTTAGAAGCACTTTAGAATAATGAAGTTTGAGACAGACAGACAGACAGACAGACAGACAGATAGGCAGTCATATAGACAGACAGACAGACAGACAGACAGATCGATAGATAGATCAATAGATAGATCAATAAATAGATAGAACAATGGATGAAATAATGGAACAATGGAATAATAAAATGACAAATAAAATGAGAAATAGAAAGACTGTAAGTGTTCATAATATGTGTAGATACTGTACCTTGCAGCCGTGAGCAGAGATGATCCTGAGGTCAGCAGGGATCCTGTCTCCTCCCTTCACCTCCACCAGATCACCACCCACCACCTCCTCAGCGTTAATCTGGAGCTTCTCACCTTCACGGATCACTAAAGCTTGCTGTGGACCACACACACACACACACACACACACACTTCATTTTCAATCTCTAACAAGTCTAAGGAGATAGGAGAGATTAGAGGAGCATTAATACAGTCTGGAGGATTCAGAGACTCAGCGCTGGGAGATAATAATTAGGATTATGACCAGAGAGGAAATCAACGGATTAAGATTATTGGAGTATGTTGGTTATTTGGGTTTTCACTTTGATCCACTCAGACTGTTATTTTGAGTTGAGAAGCACAGCTAGAAATATGCACTGCAAACTTTCTCACTTTTGAATTATAATTTGGATGAAGTAGAATTAGGAGTCTGAACTGAGGATGTTAAAGAACTTTTATGTTGTGTACCTGGGGAACCATGTTCTTGAAAGACTCCATGATCTTCGAGCTCTTGGCCTCCTGGAAGTAGGAGAAGCAGCCGGTGATGATGACCACAGCAGACAGCACGATTCCCAGATACAACTGTGGAGCAGAGAGAGAGAGAGAGAGAGAGAGAGAGAGAGAGAGAGAGAGAGAGCGAGAGCAGAAGGACAGGTTATCAAATTAATGTGGAGAAAATCCTCAGGAGGTCACTGACCTTGATTTCACTGATTCACCTTGTTTGCCTTTGTGCCTCATTTAGCTCACAAATCAAAATAGAAGGCACTATGCTCAAATTCTCCAAAAACAGCTGAGTAGAATTTTTTCACATTTCTTTGATGCATAGAAAGTTCAGAAGAACAGCATTTATCTGAAACAGAACTCTTTTGTAACATTATAAAGGTCTTTATCATCATTTTTGATCAATTTAAATCATCCTTGCTAAATAAAAGTATTAATTTCAATTATATAGTGTATAATGTTACAAACACTTTTTATTTCAGATAAATGCTAATCTTTGGATCTTTCCATTCACAAAGAATCCTGAAAAACAATGTACTCAACTGTTTTAAATATTGATAATAATAATAATAATAATAATAAAAAGTTTCTTGAACAGCAAATCGGCATATTAGAATGATTTCTGAATGATAATGTGACTCTGAAGACTGGAGTAATGATGCTGAAAATTTATAAGGATCATGATATATTTTACATTTCATTCCTACATTTTAGGAGATGCATTTTTGCTCATGCTAATGAAGGATGCTAACCAGTCCAACCCTGACCTCATAACAAAGTGCAAGACATTTAGTGAAAGAGAGACCAAAAATGTTTTGTTTTAGAATTAATTTGCTAAAACTAAAATGAGGGGAAAGGCTTTTTATTCTCAACCCAACCTCTTCAAAATGCTTTCTGCCACCCATGGCTTTTCTGCAATCCATATGAACTATAAAAGGAATAGATCATATTTAATACAGCATTATTAACAAAACAAAAATAACACAGATTACAAATAAAAGACTTGCTACTGAATGGGATTACTGATTATGTCACAAACATGGCCTTATCTACTCACAGGAAAATTGTCCTAAATCTTGCACACTCTAAACTGCAGCATAACGCATATTTAGTGTAAATGTATGCTTTTGTGAGTGTGTGAGTTCTCACATTGTCATTGGCAGGCTCGTCCTCCGTGGCGGCCTGGATGGCATAGGCCAGGAAGCAGAGGATGGCTCCGATCCACAACAGGATGGAGAATCCTCCGAAGAGCTGTCGGCAGAATTTGACCCACTCCGGGGTGGTGGGGGGTGGGGTGAGAGCGTTGGGACCATCCCGAGCGAGGTACTCCGCCGCCTTGGCATTAGTCAGACCCTTCAGGGGACAAGAGAGTGTGAGAGGAAATCTGATTCAAGAGTTCACGTCAAACACTACCGCACTGCCACTAGAGGGCGATTGCACTGTGTTTTAAGAGATTTGTTGAGATCACAGTTCCTGTTCTAAAATATTAGTGCTTCAGATCAGCTCATTAAAGGGGTCATATGATGCTTTTTTAAAGATCATTATTTTGTGTATTTGGTGTAACAGAATATGATAGTTTACCTGGGTAAAAAAACAGTTGCTGGTCCCTATCAATTCCCATAGCATTTTTTCCCCATACTATGGAATTCAATGGGGAGCAATGGAGACTGTTTGGTTACCAGCAGATGCATTAAACTCATGCAGGTTTGGAACAGTTTGAGGGTGAATGATGACATTTTTGGGTTGACTGTCCCTTTAAGTTGCTTTGGATGAGGCGAATCTGTTAAAGGGCAAGTTAACAAGTCTTACATCTGACATAATAATCAGAAAAATCTATTTTTATTAATTATTATTATTTAAATAGTTCACTGATGCGTTAGACAAAATATTTTAAAACATCAAAATAAAAAAAGTTATCAGACTTTTTTTTTTGAGTATCATATCTGATACATCAGGCTTTTGTCTTATATAATATGATATAGGAGAATATGGAGCCCATAGTTGAGGAGGAAACACCTTAATTTTATTTAGAGGCCTAACTGAGCAAACATGTTGATATTTATATGACCAGTAAGATGAAATTCTGATGTTGTAATATAAATCAATGAGAAGTGTATCAGTATCAATGAACAGTATATCATACATAAAAGTGCATCTAAATATCAGTTGTCACTTTATATCTCCTAATAATATGTCTTAGTAAGATGATATTTAAATGTTTAGCTCTATGATCAAAGCTTTGTAGTTTTTACTATGGGGAAAAACATAAATAAGCAAATAAAGACCAAGGCTGCATCTCATTGCTAGTTTTACTTGATCTTAATGCTGCGTTCAACACTATAGATCATGACATACTCATAGAATGATTACAAAACTATACAGGTATTCAGGGGCAGGCTTTAAGATGGTTTAGATCCTACCTGCCCGATCGCTACCATTTTGTTTATTTAAATGGGGAGTCATCTCAATTATCACCAGTAAAATATGGAGTGCCACAAGGATCCGTTCTAGGTCCTCTGCTATTTTCAATATACATGTTGCCCCTTGTTAATATTATTAGAAAATGCGGGATTTGTTTCCATTGTTATGCTAATGATACTCAACTATATATCTCAACATGTCCAGATGAAACTTCTAAATTATCTAAGCTAACAGAGTGTGTTAAAAATGTAAAAGATTGGATGACCAATAATTTTCTCCTATTAAATTCAGATAAAACAGACATATTACTTATTGGACCAAAAAGCAGTACACAGAATCTCTCGGATTACAATTTGCAACTAGACGGATGTACTGTTACTTCCTCTACAGTCAAAAATCTGGGTGTTATATTAGACAGCAACTTGTCTTTTGAAAATCATATTTCCCATGTTACAAAAACAGCATTCTTCCATCTTAGAAACATTGCCAAGCTACGAAACATGTTACCTGTTTCTGATGCAGAAAAGCTAGTTCATGCATTCATGACCTCTAGACTGGACTATTGTAATGCACTGCTAGCTGGTTGTCCTGCATCTTCAATAAACAAGCTACAGATAGTCCAAAATGCAGCGGCTAGAGTCCTTACCAGGTCAAGAAAATATGATCATATTACCCCAATTTTACAGTCTCTGCACTGGCTACCTATTAAGTTCCGTATCAGTTACAAAATATTATTACGTGCCTATAAGGCCCTTAATGGGTTAGCTCCTGCATACCTAACTAGTCTTCTACCACGCTACAATCCATCACGCTCCCTAAGGTCGCAAAACTCTGGACTTTTGGCAGTACCTAGGATAGCAAAGTCCACTAAAGGAGGTAGAGCTTTTTCGCATTTGGCTCCCAAACTCTGGAATAGCCTTCCTGATAACGTTCGGGGTTCAGACACACTCTCTCTGTTTAAATCTAGATTAAAGACACATCTCTTTGGCCAAGCATTCAAATAATGCATCTCATAATCTTTTACTGCAGTCATAATCTTTTACTGCAGTTATATCTAATCAAATGCACATTATTATTCATTAGTTTGGGTTAAACAAATCATTTTTGCTTGGTTGGAACAGCAGCTACGCTAATTATGTTTGTATTTGTTTCTCTGTCTTTTGCCACGGGATTAACATCCCGTGGTAACTAGGATTTACACAAGCTTCAGTCTGGATCCAGAACACCTGAGAAGAGATGATGCAACCCCTCAGAGGACCTCAGATGATGCCAATCCTGAAACAACATACAGAACTATACCAAACTTTGCTGTAAGTTTGATTTCAACATATAATCATTGCTGTTGATAGTGTTCATCGTCTATTTGATTATGTCATTAACTTAATTTTACCATACATTTCTGCCATATGTACATCAATTTGACATAGTCACCACTGATAAGCTACAACTAAATATATTGTAGAAACGTAATTTTCTGTAAAGCTGCTTTGCAACGATTTGTATTGTGAAAAGCGCTATACAAATAAACTTGAATTGAATTGAAGTAATAACATTGTGGCATTAAAGATTAAAGGGAGTCAGTCAATATTAAAAAATATATAAAATGCGGGCAAAATAAAAATCTCCATTGACATTGTATGTAATAAACAAACTAAGAGATTTTTTTCAAAATATCTTCTTTTGCGTCCCACAGAAGAAAGTCATACAGGTTTGGAATAACATAAGTGTGAACAAATGATGACTGTTTTATTTTTATTTTTGGGTGAACTATCCCAAAAACCAGGAGATGACCAGAAGATGTCATTTTATGTGAAAAAGTAGAAATATTTTGAGAAAACAAAACAAAAACAAAAAAACAATATAGGCAATTATAAGAATAGGACACCAGAGTAGCCTCACCAGTGAGGACATGGACGATTTAGTTCAACTAAACTTTAGCATAAGATTTACAATAACATTGTGGCATTAAAGATTAAAGGGAGTCAATATTTAAAAATATATAAAATGCGGGCAAAATAAAAATCTCCATTGACATTGTATGTAATAAACAAACTAAGAGATTTTTTTCAAAATATCTTCTTTTGCGTCCCACAGAAGAAAGTCATACAGGTTTGGAATAACATAAGTGTGAACAAATGATGACTGTTTTATTTTTATTTTTGGGTGAACTATCCCAAAAACCAGGAGATGACCAGAAGATGTCATTTTATGTGAAAAAGTAGAAATATTTTGAGAAAACAAAACAAAAACAAAAAAACAATATAGGCAATTATAAGAATAGGACACCAGAGTAGCCTCATCAGTGAGGACATGGACGATTTAGTTCAACTAAACTTTAGCATAAGATTTACCAAGATAGAAATCCTTAGTCTTTTGGTGCATCGGCATCAAGTTATCTTTAGCATCCAGACAAATCCACAATTATGAAGGAAATTTAATTTATTCAGGAGAAAGAACCAGACAGACAGTCAGGAAAGCCTCTTTTCTGCAATCTCAAATGACAACCAGTGTTCAACTCCACTTCACTTTGATGTTCCTTTTCATAAGATTCTCAGAATATTACTACTTTAATCTCATAATACTTTCATACGTTCTTATAATTTTAACTTTATTCCATAAATATTACTACTTTGATCACTAAAATATTAGGACTTTATTCTCAAAATAATGCCTTTATTCTAGTAAAAAGCCTTTTGTGAGACTATTTTTAAAAACATCATTCTTGTAATACTATTTTGGGTTTTAAGATTTATTTTAATATTGCGCTACAATGCCATCATATGAAACATCTGGCTTGTTGACATGATTTAAGAAACTCACCTGTACAATGTCAGTGCTGTATTTTCGGCATACTTCTTCAATTGACATCTTATGCTCTGTCTGGGGGGGAACAAGAGTTTCTATAGAGTCAACCGGCCACAAAGATTGAACCACAACCTTTTGATTCAAGGCAAAGAAGTTTTTGAAATTCAATACAGTATGGTGCACTTAAAATTCATTTAAGAGGCACTGAACTGCTCATCCTAGGAAGCACTGTGGCTAAATTACATAACCGAATCAGTATGTAGAATATAAAATTATTCCCTATAGGTCACTGATAGTAAGTATTAAATACATAATGCATTTGAAGTTTGATACAAAAACTTGAAGATGTATGATATGTGTCGATGTGTCTTACCAGCGGTACTTCCTTCTTCAGGTCATCCAGGTCTTTCCCTCCCTTTCCCTTTTTAGGAGACTCCTTCTCATCTTTTTCCTGCGTGGTCGCCACGCGGTAGCTGTCCGACCGTCCATACTGCAGGAAAAAAAATTTGAATTATTTTTTTCAACTACAAAATTAGACCTAAAATAAAGCCAGCTGGCAATGGAACCCATTTGTTAACATAATGTAAATGAAATAAAAACATACATGAAACCTATTAGATATTAGAACAATTTAATCTATTAACATATATATATATCTAGCCCATACAAACATGTATGTTTATGCATGCAATACATTTTTGGACATATATGTCATGTACATGCATATCCATTCTAAAATCCATCAAAACATGTTGATATATAAGTAAATACAAAAGATAGACATGTATTTGAGAACATTATTACAAAAACATACTTAGTCAGATTTTTTGCATAAATGTTGTTTACAGGTGCATCTCAATAAATTAGAATGTTGTGAAAAAGTTCATTTATTTCAGTAATTCAACTCAAATTGTGAAACTCATGTATTAAATAAATTCAATGCACACAGACTGAAGTAGTTTAAGTTTTTGGTTCTTTTAATTGTGATGATTTTGGCTCACATTTAACAAAAACCCACCAATTCAAAACACATAAGCCAGGCAGTATGAACTTTCAAAAAAGCTATAGTTAACCTTTTTATTAGTCAAATAAAATCTATTCTAGCATATTTACTGCCAAAACATAGCTAGCATACAGTATATGATGACATTATAAAAAAGAATAAAAAACAATGGCTATATTTTACATACTATATTTTTGAGGCACAAAGAGTAGCAGGACATTTCCCACAAATGACACAAACAGGTTCAGCTTCATAAACCAGAGAACTTGAACAAAATGTGTCTCAGCTGAAACTGCAATACTACCATGAACACACAGATGGGCTCATATTTAAGCATCACTCAGCACCTTCTGCCGCACTGCGAGAGACACACGGGGCAGGAACTGAGGAACCGATGCTCTCCATGACTGAGGATGAGAGGGGAAATGCCAGCCGGATAATGCTTCATCTACTATCCTGCTTATCTTTGAAACCGTGAAGCTTTAACAGGAACCCCATGCGGGATACGGGGGGTAGTGTGAGCGCGGGGGCTGTTGAGGGGGGTCTAGTGCACTTTAATCCACATTAGGGCTTTTCATTGATGTGGCATCCCGATTTGCCATGTGTGCTTCTGTGACCTATTTTAGCTTGCATGCACAACCAGATGGCATTACTGTCAAATCCACCATTACAGCACACCAGCGTGCTCACATGATAATGTGCAATCCATAAATGATTCTGATGGTAAAGCTGGTTGATAATATTATATAAAAAAAAATATATATAAATATTATTAAAGGAATAAAATATGATTGCAGATTTGACAATGTCTGAATGAACTTAATCCAAAGTAGTTCATATTTTACTTTTACTGTTGACAGAACATGAACACTGAATAGTCATATAGTCATAAATATTTTGTCTTTTATTAGCAGATTTTATTTGTCATTAAAGGGGTCCTATTATGCTCTTTTACAAAGCCTTGATTTTGAAGCATGGGTGTGAATCAAAACGTCTCTGTTCTGTATGTGAAATATTACTTTAGCAAAAATGTGTCTGATAACAAATGTGATGAACACTGTAAAAGATCAAACTTGTACATAAAACAGATTGTAAAAAGATTATTGGAGTACATGTTGCATGAATATACTATTTACGCCGTTCTACTTCAAAATGTCATGTTTAGTTCAATGTGTTATTTGCTATTTTTGTTTGTTCAATTTTTGTAAATTGTTCGTGAAATTTACTGGCAATTTCTCTGTAAAAATTATTTTGACACCAAATTTGTTCAACTTTCAAAATAATTTTTTGCATTGTGTCATTATTTTGATAATAGCTCTCCCCTCAAATTCCTATTACCATAATGAAAAAAAAAATCATATAAATAAATGAATAAATATAAATAGATGAGCACAAATATGCTCAGTTAATAAAAATCTTTGCATACGTTTTACAGTCATACAGTAAAAATGACTGAATTACAGTAATGGGAATTAATGAACATTTTAATTGAGAATAATAATAAATGTGCTCATTTGAATATATGAAGTGTGAAATTGTACTAACAAATCTTGATGTAAACTTGAGAAGAAATTACTTGTGCGTTATATTTTTATTCCATACATGTTTTACAACTTCCGTGTCGCTAAAAATGCCATAATACGTTTCGATACTAAAAGTCTTAAGTAATTCGAATTTAAATGCATAATTTTAAAGTGAATTCATTCACCACAAACACCAGACAGTTGATACAGTCGTGGTCACTGTGGTTTGCTAAATATATAGGAAAGCAACCTTGGCATGGAACAAACTGATTAAAACCTGCTATTGACATTTGAGGGCCAATCAAATAAGCTTGCTGTCTGACCTTGAAGGTCTCACAGGATATGACATCACATCAGCGTCTGGCAAATTGACTGATTGCGTATCTGCTATAGCTTTGCTTCATATGACCCCGGGCTTTGACACAAAAATAAGGCTTGATTGTGTGCTTTAGTGGAAAGTACACACACACACATACATATCCAAAATCACTCAGTGAGAAAGATCTATTGAACAGCGTCCTTTACACAACCATCTATTATAAGACTTTTCACCACCAGTCTGTTTCTCATTCACAGATACACAATTATCAGTCATGCAACATGTAAAATTATTTAAACAGCTATTTAAACCCCATTGTTGCCATTTTTACTTAAACAAAAAGTGATTTATTATCAAAACAAAATGGTGACAGACACCACAGTGAAATTTTAGAAAACCAAAAGCAAAAGAAACCACATTTCAAACCCGATTTCACACTAGCAGATGACATTTCTGCTATTCTAAGCATCCTAATCACCTGCAGTGCCCTTGAAGCCTTCAGACAGGCTTGTGTCTTTGGCTGCATGTCCCAAGGGCATCGCAGAGTCACCCTCCAAGAAACATTCACGTCATAATAATTGCAGACAACCCCGAGCACCTGCGCCTCCTACAACTGCCTCACTGCTGTTCTCAAGGTGACACCAGGTAACAGCCTGCTGTTCACCTTTCCTGCCCTGCACACCCCATTCCCTTACTGTATCAGCCCATCTGTGACATAATTTCAAAGCTCAGAACATTGGCTATAGTGGAATATTATCATACTGCACTATACTGTATACTGCATTCTATAAATAAAAACTAGCAAGTGAAACAGAACACATTATGGAACTATAAACATATCGTTCATTATGTTGCATTAATAACTCGGGAGTAATTTAATTCAAATTTGATTCAATTAATTTAATTAATTCAATTATTATTTCTGAAATAAAAGTAATTTACCTTTTAATTGTAAAAACATACTATGCGTTAAGAAATTTGGTGTAGAATCAATTTTCACTCAGAAATTGCTAGCAAATTTCACAGTTAATTACAAAGACACTGCAAGGAACATATTGAATGAAATGATCACAACAACAACAACGTTTGTCAGGCATCTACATTGTCATCTGAGGAGATTACAAAGATTAAACGAGTGTTTTTTTAAACTCTAAAACATTCAATGTGGAGTTATCGGCTTTTGCAAAAAAACAATTATTGGAGTTATCTGCTTTTGCTATAAAACAAACTTTTAATATGTAAAAAAAAACATACTTTCAATGAACTATAATTTTGTAAATTACATGTATTTGTTTAAGTTATTATTACCTAATCAAAACAACCCAACTGAAGTTTGATTTATATTACTTGGAATGCGCAATAAAAAAAAAATTATTTCTGAAAAAAAAAACATTTTTAACGGAGTTATCGGTTTTTGCAAATGAACTCTTCACACACTGTATGTGCATTGTGGGATACTATATTTTGCACTTACTATGTCTGAAATCACTCAATTGCTCTCTTACTCACTATTCCCTACATAGTGAATGTCATTTAGTGCTGTATGGAGATAATAAGTAAACAATAATAGGTATACTTACCGAACTACATAGAGACAGTAATCAATTTTTACTCTCAGGTTTTTTGTTCATATTGATTATAAATACAAACAACTGCCAACAAGTAGTATTATGAACAACTGTACATTATTATGTGTGTACAGGTGTTCCATGTTTGCGAAAATGAATACTGTACACACATTATACTGTATATACTACATTCTGTACACTGTAAAAAAATTTTTTTTTTGAGGTTGTAAATAAAACAAAGATTTTTGGAATACATTTGATAAATACTATTAGTAAAAAAAACTATGGATATTGAAAGTGGAAGAGAGCACTGTACTTACACTCCCCCACCTCCATTTCCTTGCGGTGATGAGAATCAAACCCACAACCTTTGGGTTACAAGTCTGACTCTCGAACCACAACCACAACTGCCCAAGTTGTCTACATGAATTATTTGTAAAATTTACTGAGTGAAAGTAATTTAAAGTAAATTATGCATATTCTGTTCTAAGCAGTCAGTCTCCAAGAGACATTCACCTCATACAAATTGCCAGCAACCCCAAACACCTGAGCCTCCTGACTCACACAAGCCTCTCTCAAGGTGACACCAGGTAACACCCTCCTGTAACCCCATCATTCACTTTCCATGCCCATTTTATTCTCCTCCAGCATCACTCCATCCCCACCACCCTCTCAGTACCCAAACCTTCAATTTGGCCCAGCGCATCTTTCCAATCACGCAGCCTCTACCTATTGATTGATTGGCTCAAAGACCAATCAATCATCAGCGACTGCGAATACGGCCCCGCCCTCCCGTCATCGCCGCCCTCGTGGCGCTACACAGACCAATCGCGGTACTTCTTCGGGAATTTCCACTCTCGTTGATCAACCTCCACTTTGACGCAGTCACCGACCGTCGAGCCCGGTTACCCCTCCGGGCATCACGACCGATATCAGCATGTCAAAACAACACAGAAATCGAGATACAGAACCTCGCGTGCGATGGAAAAGGTATTGTTTGAAAGAGAACTTTGCGTCACAACATCACCATTCAATTCCAGATCGAATGATTTGTTTCTTTTCATTTGAATGTCAGATTTCCAGTTCTGGTTATTGGAAGGTCGCAAAATAACAAGCTAGAAAGGCGCTTGGTGTGACTAGAAATTAGAAATATTCGCGCTTCAGTCGTCAGCAGACGTCCATTTTGACGCGGATGGCCGCGCGTCTACTGACCAATTGGACTCTCTTTGGGATTTAATTCTTGTCATAAATGTGATAAGATGTTGGATAGTCGGCTGTGAAACTATTGAAACGGGTCAGTCCAGACGCAGTCATCCCATATCCATACGCTCCCCCACCCCTATCTGTGGCTAACGCCTTTCATTTAGGAGACTGAATTTCTCCTCAGACTTTCCAGACTTGCAAACGACGTATAGCCAGGAAATAATTGTGGAAAACTCACCTGGTTAAGATTTTATTTTCCTACTTAGTAAACTTTGCTGCCGTCATTCATTAAAAGCAAACATAGTCCATTTATAAATTGGTGGATTCTAAAAAGGTATAGCAAATGTACAAATCACGACTACCAAAAATGATCACTTTATGGCCATGTAAACTTTCTGGTGTCGAGTTAAAAACAGGCGTAATCCCGAGTTGCTAACCTCAAACGATCATTACTGCGGTCGTCAACGTTATTTTCCTGACGCGCTGGCATGGCACGTTTGACAGAACGAACAGAGGCGCAAGCAGAAACGTTATAATCATAAAGTGCTTCTGAATATGTGTTATTATGATATCTTACCGGTATGTATTTGAAACATATTAGTTATCAATGATAATTTTGATATTTGATATAATTTTGCGTTTACCTCAGTGCGTGCGCCTTTTTTGCATTGAATGAGAGTAGCGCCTATATATTCCATTTCTAGCATCTATTCCAAACGACTTAGATTATGATATTATGATGTATATACCTAATATGCCAATATGTGCATGTCAATTCACCATTATTCTTCATTTGTTCCATTGAACTGCATCATGACGCATCGGACTGGGTGCAAAAATGAAGCATTATTTGACGCAATTGCCAAACGATCGAGCAGCGTTATTTCACAATGTCAGTGATGTTAAACCCGCAGTCTAGGGTTAAAACGCCCACAGTATAACTGATAAATGTTTGCTTAACATTTACAATGTTTTTAGTAGTAAGCAATACGTTAATTGAGAGATAAATGCACCCGTTTAATGCAATGTTTTGCCAAAATACATACAGACACGTTCACACACAAATCTCATAACCCCCGAATAATTCTGAAGATGCATGGCATTCAAAATGGGCAAGCTTTTAAAATAGATTCTTACCCCCATTTTGGAGCCGTCAGTCGCTGTGTCTTCAGTCAGTCAAACTACGTTTGGTTTCAGTCAAGCGGGAGAGAAGAAAAATTAAGCTCTTGAACGGACAACGACGGCCAGCGTTTGAACGACCCTCTGTCTATAAATTAAATGTATATATTCTTGAAGATACCATGCATAGTAATGTATTACAGGGGGTCTACATGAAGAAAAAACTTAAAGAATGGCCCAAGCTACATTGGTTTCTAAAAGCACATGTGGCAGCCTTTGATATAATGATAGAAGAGCATATGCAGCGCAGAGGATTATAAAGCGTCTCTGGCTGAGAATGATGCCGGTGAGATGAAGAGCGACGCGCCCACTCTGCCTCTCTGTGTTCCTCCGCCGCTAGTGCTTCGAGCCGCGGCACGCACTTCTTATCCCTCCGCGAGCGACAGTAGCCCTATAAACGCATGTAATGTACAGACATGCCAATGAGATAATGTTCCAGAAGAATCTGGTTATATTAAGAGGATTTTACAAATGTGCATCTCCAAAGAACAATATCAGCAGACATTTGTTTGATTGCCTACCTGATTCTAAGATGGATTATTATACTGAATCATGGCCGAACCACTGGACAGGCTAATGGACATAATATTTCACAAACAACTAGTAGCCTTGTGCTATACAGTGATGCTTTTGGCATCAAAAGAATGTGGTAAGTTTGTGGAGTCCGTAAACTTAACAAAACACATCCTAAAAGTTCCCATTGTCAAGGACTGTCATTTATACTGTTATTTATACTGAGATGCTGCTACGATATATTCAAAAATCAAGTTTCTTTATTGGCAACTATGGTTCCATGAAGAATTCCACAATTTCCTTTCCATTCCACAAAAGGCTATTTACAGTGGATAAAGGTTCTTTAGATTATTAAAATGTTCTTCACACTAAGAAAACATTTTTAGTTTAAGAACTGTTCACTGAAAGCTTCCTTGGGGAACCAAAAATGGTTCTATGGCATTGCTGTGGAAATATTTTGGAACCTTTATTTTTAAGTGTACATTGCTTTTCACATCTTATTTTAAATAAGTTCAACAAATGATCAAAAGTTAATTTTATGGATGGCACTGTTGTCTGTGGCCAATGCACCAAAGCAGCCTATAAGTGTCATGCCCCTGGACTGTCTGTGTGTGTTTTTGTCCCCATGTGCTCCCCGTGACCCAGTTTCTCCCTTGTTTGATTGTGTTAATTTGATTCAGGTGTGTCTCCTCTATTACCCTCGTTTAGTATTTAAAGTGTTGTCTGTTCTATGGTTCCTTTGTCCAGCCTGCCTGTCTTTCCCCTTAGCTATTAATTAAAGACTGTTATTCCTGAATCTCCTTCATCTCCGTAATTCCTTGCTCCTCACAGTAAGCAACCGTGACAGAACACTGGACCAACAAAAAATAAGTATATTGCGTGTTCCCCTCCATTTGTTTTCTGTGTTTTGTACAGTGTTTTATTTTACCCTATGGATCCCCTCGCTGCTAAATTCACCGCCCTTGCCCGTAAGGACCTTCCCATCTTTGAGTATGCTGTTGAGTTCAGCCAGCTCGCCGTTTTAATGGCGTTTGACGACGCTGCGCTGAACTCACTGTTCTGGATCGGGGCAAATTACCATTGCCCCGTTGATCTGGAGAGTGTCCGGCCCCGATCCAGAACACAGCCCAACCCAGAGCCCAGCCCACCATCACCCCGCTGTGCGAAGCCAAAGCCCGAGCCCACCTATGACGGAGAGCCCGAGACCGCCACGACTGACGAGCCATCACCCAATGGCACGACAGAGCTGAGGATCGCCGCGGAGCCGGAGCTTTTCAAGTGACGTCAGACCAGGTGCGAGAGCCAGCTACAACGCTCGCCACGAGGGAGAAGGCCGTGGACAGGGAGAGTGCGGAGAGAAGCTCCGCCCACTGCACCATGGCTGAGGGTGAGCTTACAAAGGATCTGGGATTTTGAAGTTGCCCTAATAGACTGGGAGGCAGATATATATGCGGACATGCCCATTCTCCTCCCACCTTCCTCGGACTTACCAGTCTGCCAGCCTTGTTGTTCCCCTGTCTGACACGCTCCCGGTGCTGGGAGTCGCGATTTGGTGTGTGTGTGGGCAGCGCACACCAGCCCTGAGAGCCCGGAGGCTCAGAAATGCCCACCCACCCTCCTGCTCCTGCCTCCTCCTGCCTCCTCCACCGCAGTCGTCTGGCAGCCCCTTTGCTCACCCTCAGCCCACCATCTGTTCGGTGCGAGCACCACGGGTCTGCCCGTCTCCATCGTTGGCATGGCTGGAGAATCCCTTGCCTTCGCCTCCCACCTTTGACGCGCCATCCGGGAGGGGGGCGAATTATCATGCCCCTGGACTGTCTGTGTGTGTTTTTGTCCCCATGTGCTCCCCGTGACCCAGTTTCTCCCTTGTTTGATTGTGTTAATTTGATTCAGGTGTGTCTTGTCTATTACCCTCGTTTAGTATTTAAAATGTTGTCTGTTCTATGGTTCCTTTGTTCAGTGTTATACATCTAGTGGTGCTACATGTGTCTCCTGCCTGCCTGTGTTTCCCCTTGGATGTTAATTAAAGACTGTTATTCCTGAATCTCCTTCATCTCTGCGTTCCTTGCTCCTCACAGTAAGCAACCGTGACAATAAGCTCTGTAAGACTTCTCAAACTTATTTTGATTCTCAGCACATGTTCCAAAAGATCAGCCAATTTAACTGCATTATCTGATCCCCGAAATGGATTGAATCTCAAAGCTGTGTGGGTGTATTACAGATAGAGAAAGACAGAACGAAACAGAGAGAAAACAAATAATATTTCAAAAATATAATAACGGACTGAGAACAGTAAATTTGATGGACTAAAGGTTTTTTAGGCAGTGTTGGTTGTGTGTGAGTGAATGTTTCTTGCAGTGAAAAGGAGATGATGCTATATATTAGTCATAAAGAAGATATTTGTGATTGTGTGTATGAGGGGGGAAGGCAGATAAGGGCAAACAGATACAGCGATCAGGTATTTTTAAATGCAGCGAGAAAAAGTGAGTCAAACACAGGTAATGAGAGAGGTATAATTGAGCTGTAGAGACAAAATGAGTCGGCCATCTAATCAGAGTCTGGATCGAGAGAGAGGAAATAAACATAAAAAAGATGTATAGACAGAATAAAATGGATGAAACGAGCTCAGGATGATAGGAGATTTCACGCGTTTCACCATGCAGGTGCTAAGAATAGATTAATGAGGCCTAAAACAATCAGGGTCACACCATTTATCTGAGAATCACATTTCCAGGATGGATCTAGAAAACTTTACTACAGCAGCATCATTTATCACCATCAGTGATATCAAATAATTGTTATTAATATTTATATTTATTTAATCAGCTCATTTACTTAAGTCAGGAACCTATGGAATACCGTTTCCGTAATTGCAACTTTTTTTTCCCGTAATTGCGAGTTTATATCTCACAATTCTAACTTTATAACACACAGTTGCAACGTGCATGACACAATTCTGACTTTATAACTAGCAATTGCAAGTTTTCTCGCAAATCTTATAAAATAAGTCACAATTGAGAGATGTAAAATCACAACTGTGCAAAAAGTCAGAACTGTGAGATAAATAGTTGCATTACCTTATTTTTATTCAACGGAGAAAACAAGCTTTCATAGCAAACCTCACAATGTAGTAGATGTCAAGTAAATCATTTTATATTTTTGGTTAAACTTACCTGATCTTACTTTTTACTTAAAGGGTTAGTTCACCCAAAAATGAAAATTAGCTTGTTGTTTTACTTACCCTGAAGCATCCTGGGTGTATATGACTTTCTTTTTTCAGACGAATCCAGTCAGAGTTATATAAAAAATTGTCTTTGATCTTTCAAGCTGTTTAATAGCACTTAGCGGGTGTTGCAGTTGAACAGTCCACAAGTCGTCAAATAAAGCTCGCGCATTCATAATAAAACGTGCCGCAGACAGCTCCGGGGGATGAATAAAGGCCCCTTCTAGCGAATTCATGAGTATTTGTAAGAATAATATCCATATTTCAAACGTAATAAACACTTTTCTCTCACTTCCGCTGACTATCATCCACTGAAGCAGTTCCGGCGGATGACGTAGCATGTCGGCGTTGCGTGATTAGTGACGAATGCGGAGAAAGAACAAAACAAAACGCCAGTCACGAATTAGAAGTACAAACCGAAGATTTGCAAAGATTTTTTTCGATATAAACCAAGAGGAGACTGGTTTTCCTTTGCTAAAGTAAGGAAACGTTGCTTCCTTTGCTCCTATTAAACAAACTCGTGAGACTAGCATTTCACGAGTTCACACTTACATATAATGAACAGAGTAAAGGTTATGTGTATTTGGCATGCTGTCCGGGGAGAGGGCTCCGAGCTCGGTAATAACTGTCGAGCTCGGGGTACTCCCCCTGTCCGGGGAGAGGGGTCCGAGCTCGGGTTTAAGCCCGGACCCAGAGTGCTCCCCACCGTGCTGGGGTAGGAACGGGCTGAAGGTGAGGAGTCGGGGAGGTGGAGGGATGCTGAAAGACTAGAGATAATGCAGGTAAGGCTGCTTTGATTATTTATAGGGGTTCTCTCTTGTGCTGGTTGGATAGATGGTGTAATTACTGATGATGGCCTGGCCGTGTAAATTATCTGCGTGTGCTCCTCCCGAAATTTGTTAATAAAACATCACAGAGGCGCGCGTGCTGCGTATACGTCATACGCCTTCCGCCGGAACGGATCCGCGTATGATAGATAACGGAAGTGAGAGAAAAGTGTTTATTACGTTTGAAATATGGATATTTTTCTTACAAAAACTCATGGATTCGCTACAGGGGGCCTTTATTCATCCCCCGGAGCCGTCTGCGACATGTTTTATTATGAATGCGCAAGCTTTATTTGACGACTTGTGGACTGTTCAACTGCAACACCCGCTGAGTGCCATTAAACAGCTTGAAAGATCAAAGACAATTTTTAATATAATTCTGACTGGATTCATCTGAAAGAAGAAAGTCATATACACCTAGGATGCTTCGAGGGTAAGTAAAACACAAGCTAATTTTCATTTTTGGGTGAACTAACCCTTCAATGCTTAGATGAACATATTTTCTTCAAAAAATATAAGTAGTGCTAGTGGTGGTCAATCTGTATTTACATAAGATTAACCGAAAGATACTGTGCAATCAATAACATTACTTTCCAACTGTGTTCTCAAGGCCACATGAGAATGCACAGTGCTGCAATCAATAAATCTTTTACAGTTGTTTATAGCAACCCGAGCTTGCCATTCACATAATCTGTTTATGTCCCATTGAGTCTGGTAAACAAAGTTCTTCTTTTTCAGAGAACAAATTA